CAGACACATATTACACAAACATTCAAAGAATTATAGTTCAACAGAAGTAACATTTCAGACTCTTGATCTGATCTCAGTTCATCTCAGTAATGCTCATCTAATGCTCAACTCTTTTCTCTTGAAGAACAATCTCATCTGTGGGTCTCTTGACTTAATACTGATATAATTAACAGGTTACTGAAAATAATCATATTACTGGACAGATTTAACTAATACAAAATAACTGTTAAAATAAAACATTCATTTCAATTTAGAACGTCTGTTTTACATTGAAATATCAGCTAGTCTATATGACCCTGGAGCACAAAAGCAGTGTTAAGTCGCTGGGGTATATTTGTAGCAATAGCCAACAATACATTACATTTTGTACAATACACAAAATTATCGAGCTTTGTTTTATGCCAAACATCATTAGGATATTAAGTAAAGATATTTTGTAAATATACAGTGGATTAGTAATATGCATCGCTAAGAACTTAATTTGGACAACTTTAAAGATGATTTTCTCAATATTTAGATTTTTTTGCACCCTCAGATTCCAGATTGTTAAATAGTTGTATCTCGGCCAAATATTGTCCTATCCTAACAAACCATACATCAATGGAAAGCTATTTATTCATCTTTCAGAGGATGCATACATCTCAATTTAAAAAAAATTGACCCTTATGACTGGTTTTGTGCTCCAGGGTCACATATGCTGTCATTCATCTTAATGTTAATTTAATTCAAATTAAACTGTCATGCTTTCACTGTGTACACTGTCAAACAGCAATGTGTGTTTAATTAACAACATACACAATGCTCCAGTGCACAATATTTCTACACTGCTCGGCGGGGATTCTACTAGATCTACCAAGGCTCCAATGACTACACTTAACATCTCCACGTGTCGAAATCCTGCGGTAAGAAAGCAGACTGTATGTAGAATTTTTCAGACTGTAAATCACGCGAAAGTCCAACCGAGAGGACTTTTTGGTGGACATTTGAATATCAGGAGTATTGTTTTAAAGAACGAACAGTTGTCTCATTTACTATCTAATTCAAATTTGGACTTCCTTTGCATATCTGAAACGTGGTTGCATCAATTATCTTCTCCAAGTGTATTTATGATGCCTGGATTTCAATGTTTTAGACTTGATAGGTCCTCGAGAAGGCGAGGGGGAGTGTTAATATATGTGAGAAATGGTATTAAGTGTGAACGTCTTGTGTTTAACTCTGTTAACGACTTGGAGTTTGCAGGGCTAAAAATAATTTTGTCTCCTCAAATGTAATTTATTATCATATGCGCGTATAGACCCCCCTCAGTAAATGATATATTTTATAAACAACTTACAGACATTTTAAAGGAATGTAATCATAACAAAGAAATAATTCTTATGTGTGATTTTAACTTGAACTGGGAGGACAAAGTAAAGAGGGGAAAAACTCAAAACTATTGCTGATAAATATCTTTTAAGTCAGATAATTAAAGGACCCACAAGAATTGCTAAATCCTCTAAGACACAGTTAGACCTAATATTCACAAACAAACCTGAAAGGATAATCAAGAGTTATAATTTGATCACTGGGTTATCTGATCACAATTTAACCTTGGTTGCTCGGAAACTGACCAAAAACAGGTTTCAAAACAATGCGACAAATTCTAATAATGTTTTCTGTTGTATACCTAAAGGAAAGCTAGTAGAGTTCAATGAGCTAGTTTAAAGTGGGATGATATATTATCTTCTCAGGATGTAGAATAGGGCTGTAACACACTCATCAATAGGACTAACTCTGTAAGGGACAAATTCACGACAAAAGTTCAGAAAAAAATTAGGCATAAAAATAGTCTACCTTGGTTCAATGACAACTTATGGAAGCTGATGAAGAACAGGGACTCAGCATTAAAGATGGCTATTAAGACAGGAAGGGATATCGACAGGCTTTGTTATAAAGGACTGCGGAATAAAGCTACCTGAGAGCTGAGAGTAGCAAATTATCAAATTATTATCTTCACCAATTGAACGAGGTAAAAGGAAACAGCAAATTGATTTGGAAAAATGTTAATAGTCTTCTACAGAAGGAGATAAATTCTCCAGGAGATCTCAAGATCAAAGTTCAAGGAAATTTTATTCTAGATGATTATTCCATTGCTACTGTTTTTAATAATTTTTTTATTAATTCTGTTAACGAACTGGGGGAAAAATGTATAAAAATGGAAATAATTATTATACCGTCTGATGTTGATAGCCAACACCACTGTAGGGTTTTGGAGAAATACAATTTTTTGAGCTTTGATAATTTTAGACTTTTCTCAGATTTGCGTATGGTATATAAAATTTTAAATGGCTTAGCCCCTTCTATACTTCGTGATTTTGTGCATTTTCGCTCTACAGTCTGTATGATCTACTAGATCATCATCTACTAGTGATTGTGTTGTTCCTTTTCATCATTCTGCCTTTGGGTTGTCATCTTTCTCAGTGAAAGCTATTATTCACTGGAACACTCTACCAGAAGACATAAGGATGTGCACATCTATTGACATGTTTAAATTAAAACTAAAATTGTATTTAAAAGCAACTCAAATCTGTAAACACTGATATAGTTGTGGCTTAACTGAACGTTATTTTTACTGTTCTTTTTTGGCTCTGATGGGATGTGTATAAGCATTACTGTATTGTATGTGTTTGTTATTCTGTTCTTATGTCTATCTGTGATTATGATTACCTGCCAAGGGACCGCGGATGAAAACTAGCCATTGGCTAAATTCGGTACAATGCATGAAATGGAAACATTTATGTTAAAATTATACATGGTCCCTTTTCAAATAAACTTTAATAAATAAAATAGAAATAACATGCAGTATTTTCATAATGCAGAAATTGTGTTTGACCTGCATTTTCTGTCCAACCCCGTTACCCTGACATTTCTCTATATATTAATAATGTCTCAATCTTTCTCACATCATATTTAATGAAGACATCATTTATAAAAAAAATGAATGAATGAATATGAAAAAGTGAAATAAATGTACAAAATACTAAAACTTTTCAGTATAATGGATATGAAGAAACACACACTTCCTCTCACATTTGTAATACTCCACTAATACAAACGGTTAAGATCAGAAAACACTATGACTAGATCACTGCAAACTCTTAATGTAGTATTACAACTCAAATGATTTTATTTGAGAGATTGATCATCAGCGTGAGTTTGATGTGAAAGTGACTCACATGCAGCAGTTTGCAGCAGCAGCATCAGTCCAAAGATCAGCATCATTTCTCTAAAGTCCAGTCTCCAGCAGAAGAGTGTGATGCTGCTTCAGAGCGTCTGTGTTCTGGCTCTCATCAAGCGTCTTCACTGAGAGACTCACACTGGACTGACACACGAGGAAACATCTGACCGCTTCACTGAGGAAAGAGGAAGTTTCCTCATATGGGGGAAGACACATGCTGTTAGTTTGCATTACATTTAATCTAAAACAAGTGAAACTAAGAGAAAGAAGGAACCATTTTCAAGCACAAAAAGTTCAAAAAATCTTGTTTTAGAAGCAACAAGTTTGCTTATGTTTGTTTCTAAATGATGTAAAATGACTAATTGTGCAAAACACTTTACAGATTCTCCTTTAAATCAAATGAAACCGTATCTTTACTTTGCTGATGAAATGCTGTAGACATTTTTATTGAGAGTAAAGCAGACTCAGGTCTATATGTGGTGTTTCCAGCAGGCTGTGTGTGATGATGTTTGACTCGGATCCATCAGTTCATGTGTGACTGAAGAGAGGATTCTGAGCTTCAGTCTTCTGTCTGCTGCAGCTGAGACTCATGGGACATTGAGTTTATAGCTGCTCAGAGCTGCTCATGTAGAGAGCGACACCTGCAGGAGGAAACTACAACTACAGCTGCTTTCATTTCACTCAGAACATCTGGCTTAAAATGAGCTTAATCTGATTTATTTGAATTTAACTTGTAATTAAAGCCACATTACGGATGCTTTTTAGTTCAAATCAACGATTTATTCATCAATAATTAACAAAAAATTAAGGATTATTCATTAATTCATTAATAAATAAGACAGTATCAGTGTTTTTGCTTTTGTTTTATCCCGATTCACTGCGCTGAGCCTGCAAATAATCTATATTCTGAGCTGTCGGCTTGGATTTTGTGGGAAATACAATGTTTACTTTATGTTCGTAAACACAGAAAAAGGTTTGGCTACTATATATTGTGCTGAAGAATAATTTGAGGTTATTGCTACAATGAATAAGCCTAATATTGTTGCATAAGTTTTGACCTGGTCAAGCTAGAATTTACCATGGATAGTCTAAAATAAATAACAACAGGGGAATCATGCTGTTACATAAAATGTTAAGTGACAGTATTAAAAAATGTAAATTTAATTAGCTTGTGACTTTTGACTGCAAATACAATTTCATTTCAAAGTGTTTCATTTTTATTTAACTCAAAAAAGTTAAGCATAACAAATTCAGCAATGACCCCAATTACAATTTCTAAAGAATTGCATGTTTATCAGTATTCTATAATGACACGCATATCTTGTGAAGAAAATGCACAAATGTGGTTAAACATGTTAAACGTCATCTAAAAAACTGCAAATTCAAGCAAAACCACAGTCAGAAAACAGCAGACGCTGCAAAACTGAGACACGGATGAAGAGCTTCAAACAGATCAAACATCTAAACAGACACTGAAAATAAAGAGAATCAAGAATAAAGTAAAAGAGCAAGAGCAAGAGCAGAAATGTGAAAATAAACACACAGAATGAGTTCACAATCTGACAGATCTGATTCAGAGAAATAAAAGAGTTTGATCACGGATGAACAGAATTATAGGAGTTTCATGTAATGACATAAAAATACTGCTAGTTCATTCAAAGCGTAAAGACAAATGAATAAAATAAGCAATAAAACTATTACAAAAACACAACAGTCCAGAAAATAATCTTCATAACAAACTGTAGAAAATCTGGTTTAATTCATATCTCCTGGTTTAACTAATCTCTTGGTTTTATGCTAAAAGATCTGCTGTTGACTGGTGAAAGCTGGACTGATGTGAGAATCGCTGAGATTCTGAAGTCATTTCTCACAGATGTGAAGATCTGCTGCTGCTCTCATGAATCTTCTGCTGTGTGTTCATGTCGCTCTCTAAATCTTCTCATTCTCACTTTCTGATCTTCCTCTTTCTTTCCTAAAAGCATCACATCATCATCATCATCATCATCACACTCTCAATATTCACATGTCAAATCCATAATGATGATCATAAATGTGTCTCACCTGACGTGTGTCTCATGTAGATGTGAAAACCTCCTAACAGACCCAACAGAACCATCAGCTGGAAACCCCAGACCAGCACAAACACCACAGACACTGAACACACTGAACAACACAAACACATCAATCAATCAATCAATCAACACCACAGACACTGAACAATAATAGTTAGACAAAACAAACCCATCCTTCATGTTTCCAGTGGTGCATTTGTTAAACTCGTACCACATTCTGATGTCTGTGAGCTGCTGGTCACTGCAGAGGTCAAACTAGAGGTCACAGCTGCTGTAGTTGTTCCTGAAATAAAACATCAGCACAGAATCACCTGCTTTCTCTCTCTGAACCACATCAACACCATTCACTGCTGAGATCAAACTGAAACAAACTCATGACACTTTTCAAGAATTAAGAGAACTGACTGTTTTACACCATTGGTGTTGCTGTGGTTATATGTGACATTCATGTATTAGAAGCTCACCAGGACAGGGATCAATGCTGCTGTTTCCAATCATTGGTCCTTCTTCTAGTATTTTTCCATTCAGAGTCCAGCTGTAGATGATCTGATCGCCCTCAGAGGAGCAGAACACTGAAGTCTGATTGGAGGAGCAGATGATTGACACTTCCACTGAGCCAATAGGAGCTGGAGGGAGGGACACATGACAGTCACATGACTCTTTCTCGCCTCTTTATGAGTCAATATCAAGACATTTCTAAACAAAACTGATATCTGATATAATAGCTGGACTGAATTAAACATGCAGTGTAGGTCAGTCATGAGACAATGCAGCAAATGACTGTTTGAAATGCTTTCACAAGTCATTTTTTAAACAGTATGCAGTATGCAGTAAGCAGCATGCTAGTGTTTCATTTTGAAAATAGTCTTAGTACATGGAAAATGCAGATGAATTAGACTAAATTATTCCAGACATTCAGTAATGAGCTGCAATAAAAACCTTCCTAGAGATTCAACTGATTCATCTGCATGAGAGAGATCTTTGGAGAACATGAGACTGGAATGAGTCTGATGAGAGAGTTTCTGTACCTTCAACAATCACTTGAAGAGCTCTAGATGTTTCTGTGCCGTCTGAGCGTTCGAGTGTTAATCTGTAATTCCCTGAATCTGCTCTGATCACACGGTTTATTATCACAGTCCCATTAATGACTGTCACTTCAGGTCTGTTATTGTAAAGATCACATTCCCTCTTGCTGCCTTTTCTTACTCTACAAACTGGATCATCTTGTGTGTAGTTTATTCTCTTTATTAACATCAGCTCATATTCTCTAGCGTCCCGCACCATCGGCAGATTGAGTTTGTGTCCCAGAGCTGCATAACAGGGATCAGGTTGATTAAAACTGCAGTTCCACTCCAGACCTGAAGAACAACACACACACCAAGGTTATTATAGTTTTGAATTTTTAAATCAGTTTTATTTTAATATCGTTTTCAAATTTGCTATACAGTTTAGTTTTTATTAGTTTCATTAATATTGTACGTTTACCAAACAGGACCCGTGCAGGCTTTAAACTGCTTTGCGTCTCTCCGTCAGATAACCCCATGTGCGCAATGCGCCATTCACGGCTATTACCCTAAACCTCCACACAGCTGGTATATTTTTCCGCCAAGGGGTGAGAACGTAATGATTACTAAAACGATTATTTATTTTTGATAATTATTATTTTATTTCAGTTAGTTTTTCCACATACACACACACACACACACACACACACACACCATTAATTAAAATCAGACACATATTACACAAACATTCAAAGAATTAAAGTTCAACAGAAGTAACATTTCAGACTCTTGATCTGATCTCAGTTCATCTCAGTAATGCTCATCTAATGCTCAACTCTTTTCTGTTGAAGAACAATCTCATTTGTGTCTCTTGATTTAATACTGATATAATAACAGGATACTGAAAATAATCATATTACTGGACAGATTTAACTAATACAAAATAACTGTTAAAATAAAACATTCATTTTAATTTAGAACGTCTGTTTTACATTGAAATATCAGCTAGTCTATATGCTCTCATTCATCTTAATGTTAATTTAATTCAAATTAAACTGCCATGTTTTCACTGTGTACACTGTTATTTTTCTCTTCCTAAAATGCTTTATGGATGTTAACATGCAGTATTCTGATCATGCAGAAGTTGTGTTTGACCTGCATTTTCTGTCCAACCCCGTTACCCTGACATTTCTCTCTATATTAATAATGTCTTAATCTTTCTCACATCATATTTAATGAAGACATCATTTATATATATATATATAAAAAAACAATGAATGAATATGAAAAAGTGAAATAAATGTACAAAATACTAAAACTTTTCAGTATAATGGATATGAAGAAACACACACTTCCTCTCACATTTGTAATACTCCACTAATACAAACGGTTAAGATCAGAAAACACTATGACTAGACCACTGCAGACTCTTAATGTAGTATTACAACTCAAATGATTTTATTTGAGAGATTGATCAGCAGTGTGAGTTTGATGTGAAAGTGACTCACATGCAGCAGTTTGCAGCAGCAGCATCAGTCCAAAGATCAGCATCATTTCTCTAAAGTCCAGTCTCCAGCAGAAGAGTGTGATGCTGCTTCAGAGCGTCTGTGTTCTGGCTCTCATCAAGCGTCTTCACTGAGAGACTCACACTGGACTGACACACGAGGAAACATCTGACCGCTTCACTGAGGAAAGAGGAAGTTTCCTCATATGGGGGAAGACACATGCTGTCAGTTTGCATTACATTTCATCTAAAACAAGCGAAACTAAGAGAAAGAAGGAACCATTTTCAGGCACAAAAAGATAAAAAAATCTTGTTTTAGAAGCAACACGTTTCCTTATTTTGTTTCTAAATGATGTAAAATGACTAATTGTGCAAAACACTTTACAGATTCTCCTTTAAATCAAATGAAACAGTATCTTTACTTTGCTGATGAAATGCTGTAGACATTTTTATTGAGAGTAAAGCAGACTCAGGTCTATATGTGGTGTTTCCAGCAGGCTGTGTGTGATGATGTTTGACTCGGATCCATCAGTTCATGTGTGACTGAAGAGAGGATTCTGAGCTTCAGTCTTCTGTCTGCTGCAGCTGAGACTCATGGGACATTGAGTTTATAGCTGCTCAGAGCTGCTCATGTAGAGAGCGACACCTGCAGGAGGAAACTACAACTACAGCTGCTTTCATTTCACTCAGAACATCTGGCTTAAAATGAGCTTAATCTGATTTATTTGAATTTAACTTGTAATTAAAGCCACATTACGGATGCTTTTTAGTTCAAATCAACGATTTATTCATCAATAATTAACAAAAAATTAAGGATTATTCATTAATTCATTAATAAATAAGACAGTATCAGTGTTTTTGCTTTTGTTTTATCCCGATTCACTGCGCTGAGCCTGCAAATAATCTATATTCTGAGCTGTCGGGTCGGATTTTGCGGGAAATACAATGTTAACTTTATGTTCGTAAACACAGAAAAAGGTTTGGCTACTATATCTTGTGCTGAGGAATAATTTGAGATTATTGCTACAATGAATAAGCCTAATGTTGTTGCATAAATTTTGACCTAGTCAAGCTAGAATTTACCATGGGTAGTCTAAAATAAATAACAACAGGGGAATCATGCTGTTAGATAAAATGTTAATTGACAGTATTAAAAAATGTAAATTTAATTAGCTTGTGACTTTTTTTTTACTGCAAATACAATTTCATTTCAAAGTGTTTTATTTTTATTTAACTCAAAAAAGTTAAGCATAACAAATTCAGCAATGACCCCAATTACAATTTCTAAAGAATTGCATGTTTATCAGTATTCTATAATGACACACATATCTTGTGAAGAAAAATGCACAAATGTGGTTAAACGTTAAAAGTAATCTAAAAAACTGCAAATTCAAGCAAAACCACAGTCAGAAAACACCAGACGCTGCAAAACTGAGACACGGATGAAGAGCTTTAAACAGATAAAACATCTAAACAGACACTGAAAATAAAGAGAATCAAGAATAAAGTAAAAGAGCAAGAGCAGGGGCCTCATTTATAAAATGTTGTGCAAAAACCATCTTAAAATTGATCTTACGATCATCTCTCAAATATGCATACGGGTGATTCATAAAATGAACGTACGTACAGAAAACACACGTACGTCTCTTTCAGATGTGAAATCTATGAATCGCAAATAATCTTGAACTTGCAGGCAAATGAATGGTTTCAGCTCTCTGCTTGTAAACGACTCCTAATCAGTCGTGTGTCCACAAGGGTGGCACGGGGTGGCAACTGCCACCCTAAAAATGAGCTTTGCCACCCCAAAGCAGCGTATGGGATTGAAGTGCATTGAGAGCGGAGCAGCGTGATTTTGACTGAAGCTGGGATTTTTTGAAAGTCAGAGAATTCTGGTTTTCGCTCGCTCTCAGAGTGCTCCACTACCGCTCAATAACTAGCACAATTAATGCTGTAACTATAGCCGTTCTAAACTAGTTCTGCCTAGTCACCTTTATTTATATAGCGCTTTTAACAATACAGATTGTGTCAAAGCAACTTTACAGTATTAAATAGGAAAATAGTGTGTCAATAATGCAAAATGACAATAGTAAACACTAAATTTTCAGTTAAAGGCAGTTCATCATTGAATTCAGTGATGTCATCATCCAGCTCAGTTCAGTTTAAATAGTATCTGTGCAATCAAGTCGACGATATCGCTGGATATTAAGTGTCCCGGTTCAATGTTTTTAGTTTACCAACGTGTGCTTACAAGCACTAAATTTGTTCAAATTGAATTTATAGAATAGCAGACAGCATACTATTCATACACTGCAGCTTGACCTTTGCGTCAAATCGTATTTTAGCCCGTTTACAGAAAGAGGCTGATAATGCCTCATTGGATGGGCTTGTGGTTCTGTAGAGATTTACTAATACTTTTTTGTACTTTTTGGCCTATGGCATACAACCAACTAAACACTTTAAACTAAGAGAGCTGGTTTAATTCTTTAACTAAAATACATATTTAGTTTATAGAAGAAGGAAAAAAAAACAATACATAAATAAATTAAGATTTTTATTTCAATAAACGGTCAAAAAGATAGATAAGAACATCTATCAACTTGTTGATGCCCTCCATCTGCAGGTCTTCCACCCCTGGCTGGAAAAAAAAGATGAAATATATTGAAATCTGCAAAATATGTTACAGAAAATGCATATAAAAGGAAGAATTTGATTGGTTGGTTGGTTGGTTGATCGATTTATTGATTGATTGATTGATTGATTGATTTACAAACTAGCTCTTCAAACTGTTGACAAAAATGTATGGTCATACCCTTTTCTCCTCCGTTGGCAGTAGCCTTGTTTATAAAATGTTGCACAGAAACCATCCTAAATTTGATCTTACGATCATCTCTCAAATATGAATACATGTGATTCACAGAATGAACATATGCACAGAAAACGCACATACGCCTCTCTTTCAGATGTGA